CATCCCTGTGGTGTTATCCCTGTGCCACAGGCAGGGCAGAGACTCAAGAATTCCCCAAAAGGAATTCAGGGAGTTAGGGATATTAGAGACACCTAAAGATGCTCAAGAATTCCCCCAAAGGATCCAGGGAATTAAGGATATCAGAGGCACCCAGAGATGCTCAGGAATTCCCCCGAAGGATCCAGGGAATTAGGGATATCACAGGCACCCAGAGATGCTCAAGAATTTCCCCAAAGGATCCTGGGGATTAAGGATATTACCCGGGTCCTCTTTGCCCAATTTTGTGCTGAAATTGAAGATTACAACTTTTTCTTTTTTTTTTTCCCCAAGGAATTACAGACTGGCTTTTTCCTTTTTGGCTCCTCAGAACTGGGAAAAAGAACCCATTTTTAGGGCATTTGTTGGTTTACGTTTGCATGGCACTGAGGCCAATGGGGTAACAGCCCAAATTTAGCTTTTCCAGGGATGTTTGGCACAGTGTAAACCATAACACTAATCCCAAGGTTTTTAAACCTTCCCTGGATCCTGCTTAAACCTCAGGAGACCCTACACAACTTCAGAGAAAGGAGAAGGTGATAAAACCCCCATTTACAAGTGAAATCTGAGCTGTGAGGAAACTCAGGTCACACCAGTTACTGAACATTCCTTTTCCTGGTGGTGGATAATTTCCAGTTTGCACCACTTGGAGTAAAAAAAAACTTGCTGAGGGTTTAGAGACTGTTCTTAAAAAAGTTTTAAAGCTGGAGCTGAGCTCAGGAATCCTAGTGCTGGACAGTGTGGGACACCTGGGAAGCGTCGGGATGCAGTTTTTTGGGGGTGCAGGAGCTCTGGGAGCTCCCTGGAAGGTCTGAGGGAGCAGTGGAGGCTGTGAGGGCACAGACAGGGGGGATTCGGGGTCTGCAGGAGGGCAGGAAGGAGCCACAGAGGCTCCAGGGGAAAAATGTGGGGGCACAAGGAGGGCTAAAGAAGAGCAGTGGGGGCCAAGGTGGGCCTGGGGGAGCAATAGAGGAAATGTGGGGGCACAAGTGGGGGTTGTAGAAGAGCTGAGGGGGCCACTGGGGCTCTGGGGGGGCAACGGGGGCTATCAGGGGGAAATCTGGGGGTGCAAGTGGGGACTGCAGGAGAACAGTGGCCAACACAGGGGGTCTGGGGGAGCGTAAGAGGGAAATGTGGGGGTACAAGTGGGGTCTAAAGAAGAGCTGAGGGGGCCAAGGGGGCTCTGGGGAAGCAACAGGAGCAGTCAGGGGGTGATGGGAGCTCTGAGCGCCCGGGAGGTACGGCTGGGGCAGCACCGGGACCCTCCAGGGAGCCCGGGGGTGGCCCTGCAGCCTCTACTGGGGCACACAGGACCTGCATTAAGGACGAGGGAGGTGAGGGGTCCATGAGCACGGCCCGAGCCTGCTGCGGGGCTCTGGAGGGGCTCCGGGCGAGGCCGCGCCCCCCCTGAGCGCGGCGCGGGCGGGGCGGGGCGAGCCGTGGGGCTGCGCCGCGCCCCGCCCGGCGCACGGGCCGTCCCCGCGGCTGCCGGCGGGGCTCCCCCCGCCCGCTCCCGGCCCGGTCCCGGGGCCCCCTCCCCGGTCCCCCCTCACCCATCGCCGCCGCCGCTCCGCCTGTGCCGGCCACAATATGGCGGGCGGGCCGCGACGGCGGCCGGCGCGGGACAAGCTTCGCCGGGGCGCGAACGCCACTGGCCACGCCCCCGACCCACTTGGACACGCCCACCGAGTATTTGGATACGCCCCCATCCCGCTCGGTCACGCCCAAAGCCACGCCCTCTCCGGGCCGAGGGCGCCGCAGGGTCCCAGCGCCCACCCGTGTGTTCCCCCCCACCCCCCCATAGGGGTCAGACCCCCCCAAAACACACCCCGTCGAAACCAGTGAAACAACCGCTGAAAGCCAAAAAATATTCATCGTCAGGACTTTATTACACGGAATGAGGGATCATTTCCAACACAAGAGTTGTAGGATCGTGGGATCAGAAAGCCCAGTGCTCCTCGGTGGAGGAGCTTGCCAGGCTGCCATCCAACTTATTGGTGCAGGAGCTCACCAGGCTCCCATCCAAGCTATTTTCGTGCTGTGATTCACCTTGATCACTTTTCAGCATCTTTATCACCCGCTGGCAGCGTTTTTTTTCTCAGTGATCTCCTCCACTTGTGGGCGTTGGTGCTTCGGCACAGATGGAGCGTTTTACAACACCGAGAACCAGCTGGAGGCAAAAATCTCTGAAATTAATGGACTTCCACAGGCCCAAGGTTTAGTTCTTTACTGGCTTTGGAAGGGGCTGCCCAGGGAGGTGGTGGAGTTCCCATCCCTGGAGGTGTCCAAGGAATGACTGGACGTGGCACTCAGTGCTCTGGGCTGGGTGACGAGGTGGTCACAGGTTGCACTCGATGGTCTTGGAGGTCCTTCCCAACCTAAATGTGCAAAGCCATCAAAACCCAGGAGTATCCAGACACCTGTGGTTTAACAGAGTCTTCCAGGAACAACTATAAAGGTAACAGGATGTACCAATATCAGGTTAAAAACATTTTCAGGTTAAAATATATCAGGTTTGCTACTACAACACGACGTATCAAAGCTTTTTGGTCATACCTAGTTCCAAATTCAGTGGTAAAAGTAACAGCTTCAGCAGAAAACACTTTATATTTCAGTGTTCCAACACACAGCTGCTGCTCTCGTGGGATCCAAGGGAGGCTCCAGTGTTCTCCAACACTCCCCAAGATCTGGCAGGTTCCTATTTCCCAGGGAAGTGTCTTAACTGTGCTCCTTGATCAGCTCTGAAAGCAGCTCCCTGGAGACTCATCCCTCCTTGCAAAAGGAGCAAAAGGAGCGTGGAAACAAACATTCCCATTAAAACATATGGCAGCAGTGGAAGGCTCAGCTGAGCAGCAACAGCAAAGGTTTGTGTTCTGTGCTCACAGAACGGAGCTTCCCAGGGAGAAAATGAGGAGTAACATCTCCACTGGGATGGGAGTCCCTGGATAACCTGCAGGAATTCCTCCCCCTCACAGCTGACGAACGGGACACGTGTCCAACGTCTCATCCAACATGTTACAGGTTTATCAATTAAGGAAGAATTTCCCTAAGCCCTGTTTTCCTCCCCAAAAGCTCCGTATGTGCTCGTTCCCAGGGAAGCCTGTTCTCCTCTGCAGCTCCCAGCAGACACATCCCAGCTGGTCCCTCCTCCTCTGGGGCCACTCAGAGGGTCCATCCAAGCTGCAGGAATCACCCTCAGCCCAAGTGTTCTCCAGGAGAGCAGCAGGATGGGTTAAGGAAGGGAAAATGCACACTTGAACTGTTTTTCTTGGCTCTGCTCGCGACAGATGCTCTCATACAAATTTAAAAGCTCGTCCTGTACGAAAAGAATCATCTGCTCCAAGTGCTGGACAGGGAATCCAGCTGTGCTCGTAAACCCAGCTTATCCAAGAGGGAATTTTGGAGGGACATATCGAGGTAAAGGCTTAAACCACTGTGCTTTCAGAGAGGCTGAGTTAGACACAAAATACCACAGAGGGTGTGGAATTCCCATCCTGGAAGTGTCCAAGGCCAAGCTGGACAGGGCTTGGAGCAATCTGGTCCAGTGGAAGGTGTCCCTGCCCATGGCAGAGGCTGGAACTGGATGGGCTTTAAGGTCCCTTCCCACCCAAACCATTCCATGAATCTATATTTCCATATAACAAAGCTCAAAGCCATTTGCTTTACTTAACAACCCAAACAGAAACTTGAAACCAGGGCTGAGGAACGGGCAGGGGATGAGAGTCTCCTTCCAGGGAAAGCTGCCGGGGGTTTCTCTGGAATTCCAGCTCGGTTTCACTCTCCTGTGGCTGTCCAGGATCCCACAAAGCACTCAACCTCCCTGAGGGTGTAAAACCCAGATCTGTGCCAGCTCCAGGCACGGCCAGGCTGAGTAGTTATACCCAAGAGGCTGGACAAGCTGTGACCACGCAGGGAAAGGGGCAGGGAAGGTGGGAATGCTGCGTGTTCTGCAGCAGGAGGATGTTCTTGGAGCCAAAAATCTCTTAACAAGAACGGTTTTTGTTGGGAAAAGCTTCCCCAGAGGAGAGGTCCCAGCTGCTGCACATCCCCCTGCACAGAGCCAGGCACGACAGGGCCTTTACCTGCTTTATGGCCTTCACCAAAACCCTACAAATAATAAGGTGAGGATTAGACCTTTGGGAAAACTGGGAGATGAGAGATCCCTGGCACTTGTGAGGTCACAGCCAGCTAATTCCACCTCCAGCAGCCACCTGCCAGTAGGAAAGGGAAGGTTATTCAGGTTATTTAGGTGACTCAGACTCAAAGGAATCTCTATCCCTCACAAATTCCTGCATCACCCCCGGAATGTCTGGCTAATTAGAGCATCTTTGAGAGGCACATCCTATGCTGAGGGTTATTTTGGGATCTCCAATTAGCTCTTGCAGACTCCAGGCTAAAATCTGACTGGAGCAGTGCTGTGAGAGGGAGGGAACGTCTGATCCAGGGCATGTTTGCAAAATACTTGTAGCATATACAGCTATTTCAATATATTAATATTTACAGTCTGCCACAACATTTAAGTCTCCCCCATAAACATGCAACAAAGGCAAGGCACGAGCTGGATCCCTCCAGAGGCAGCGTCACAAGATCCACTTCTACAGGTAAAAAAAACCACCTTCATCATAATAGATGATCTCTATCAAATCTTTTCCACTTGATATAAAAGCTGTGCCTATTAAGAAAGAAACGGGAAAGATTGGTACATGGCCAGAGAAACTGATGTTCCAATTACACTGTAAATGAAGATGAATTTGATAACCAGGCCACAAATCCAGACACGTTATCGTTCCCCCTGGCAGGATCCAATTTTCAAGTGGAAGAATTCAGGGTAATCTCCCTGTTGCAGCATTTCCACACATTACCTCTTCCTTGTCCCTAATGCTCCTCAGATAAGAGAAGCTCGTTTGGGAGCTTTACAATTCCGTGTAAAATTAGACTTGTGTCCTTTTATGTCCTGTGCCCAGGTTGCCTTTTGAAGCCGTTGGGCTTGTTCAGCACTGCAAGGGTTTATTTCTTTGTTCTTTTATTTATGGAGCTCAGACTTTCAGCGGTCTCAGGGTTTGAGAGGAAGCATTTAGCTGTTCCCAAAAGCCTTGGGATGCTGCCCTGGGGGAGAAATGTGTCCTTGCTGTCTAAGCAGGTCACTCCACTGATGTGTGAGCACCTCCCACTCGTTTGCAACCACTTGCATCCATTTATAAAAGCAATTTATTAGAGAAGCATGGCCTATTCCCCATCCCTGGAATGTTCCAGGCCAGGTTGGACGGGGCTTGGAGCAACCTGGTCTAGTGGAAGGTGTCCCTTCCCGTGGCAGGGGGTGGAATGAGATGGGCTTTAAGGTCCCTTCCTACCAAAACCATTCTGGGATTCCAAGAGATGTGTCCCAGGATCACTGATGGAGATCTCCGGCTATGCCAGCGGACAGAAATCCTTAAAAACTGACCAGCCAGCAGCCAGATCCCCTTTGATCCCACTGATGGGGGCCAGAAAGTGTAGAACTGGCAAGGTCTGGCTGGGTTTAAAATCTGCAGTCTGTAATTTTAATGCCTTATGGACTCCCACAGGAATTCCCACCGAGCCATTCCTGCAGCATCGGGTGACAAATCCCAGGGCGCTGGGAACCAGATGATCTTTAAGGCCCCTTCCAACCCAAACCAGCCCGTGATTCCATGAAATCCAACACCACCAGGAAGCAGCTCCAAGAGATGGTACCTCATCACATTTCCCCCCCTCCCTAAAATCCACTGAAAACCTCTTTCCCTCCGGATCCCCGGCTGGTACAATTCCGGAGCCTCCTCCACACTGCGACCTCTGCGAGAGCATCGGGCAGGGAGAGCCAGCCAGCCTTCCCTTTTTTATTTGTGTGGATGTGGTTTTAGCAGCTCAGATGGTGCCACCCCCACACTGTAAAAACACAACACACACACACACAGAGACTCACCCCCGTGGGCGCTGCCCCTGCTCCTCCTCACCCCCGGGTCGCTCCCGGCGCCGAGAACTCTCCGCTCCTGCAAGTCAAAGACAATTTTCTGTGAGGCTCCTCAATGGAAGCACAAATCCCTCCCTTCCCTCCCTCAAAAAAAAAAAACAAAAACCAAAAAAAAAAAAAAAAAAAAAAAAAAAAAAAAGAAGAAAGGGAAAAAAAGAAGAAGATTCCCACATGCAATTATTACACATGAAGGAAAACATGCAACTTCAGCTGAGCTGTGGACGTTTCACAGGGAAACAGCAATACTGGGGGGGGGAGGGAGGGAGGCTAAAAAGTTTACATTTTTAA